GCGTTGAATTTTCGTCGATGTTAAGCCTAACGAAGACTATTGTATCGTTAAAAATTATTTTTTTATTTTGTACAAACAAAATAAATTTATTGAAAAATATAAAAACAATAAAAAATTATACTTCAGATGTTAATTTAGTATCAAAAACGTAAAATATTTGAGTAGCCCGAGAAATAGCCGAAGATTGCAGCGCCACAGCACTAGCGAAAATTTAAATTTGCCGACTGGAATGCTTTCGGATAACGGACGTTTCGGATAACCAGCTTTCGGATAAACGACGCTCTACTGTAGATAAATTCATTTATTTGATAAAACGCAATTATTTGGTTTATTTGAGTGTCTGATTAATAAAAAGCGACAAAACACCACTTTAAAGTGCATTTTTATTCAACTAATATATTTATAAGTGATATGTAGCCCCAAAAGTAGCCAAAGCGCCAAATGATATTGTTTTTACGTTAAACTAAAAAAAGTAGCCACATTTGGCGCAATGTAGCCAAATCTTGCAACGCTGGAAGAAATACTAAATAAAGCTGGAGTTTTGACTCAAAGGATTATAGAGCCAAATTCGCAAAAAGAAGAGAAAGGACAAAGGATAAAGTGGAAAATTAAGACTCAATATTTGCCTAACAGAAGAACTATTTAACCTTTCTGACTACTTTTTATCTTTTGTCCTTTCCCTCCTTTTCTCAAATTTGGGTCTATAATCCTTTGAGTCACAACTCCAGCTTTATTTAGTAATCCTTCCTCATTCACACATCTCCAAGTACTGTACATGAAAATATTTCATTTCCACTCAAAACTAAAATATGAATAAAGGTTTAAGGCTTTGTGAAACTTCATTTCTGAGTTTATGCCGTTGAAATAAATAAATAATAAAAAATTAAAACATTTGTCAGTTTTGTTTACACCTTTATTGGGCCACATTGGAACTTGCCTTGGGCCGCATGCGGCCCGCGGGCCGCGGGTTGGACACCCCTGTACTAGATGGTTAAATAACAATTGTTAGCATTAAAATTAGAAATTGAAAAGAAACTAAAGTTTGGACTTATTAAATCTTTAAACTTCTTTGAACTCCAAAAAATCAAATGAGATCTAAAGTAGAATAATTTTTTTGAATCTATATTCTTTAAACTCTCAAAGTATCAGTGACATTAAGATGTAATTGTTACTTGAAAGAATTCCTCCTGTTAACCTAAATATTAGTGTTTTCTTTTTCTAGTATTTTTAATTATTTTCAATGAAATTAATGAGTTGTTTATTAAGACTCATTTATAATTCCTTACATTATTTTTAATAAGGAAGTTAAGGTTTTTTATTTATTTTATTAAGACTTCATATGAAACCATTTAATCAAGATTACATATCTTGTATGTTTCTTTTTTATCTATTACACAATTTACTTGAAAGTAATGAAATGATTATTGCAATATGTAGATAAATACTATTTTTGTTTTAAACAGAAAACTTCTACAGACATACAGATTCTATAAATCACAATTCTAATATATTATGAATAATAGTAATAGCTAGTTTTGAACATGCATAGATAAGTGTGTATATTGAATATAATCCTTCCTCTCACTATTAAACACAAGCTTTTCTCTGGAAGTTCTTAAACTTTTTCAATAATCAAACTTCTAGAATCATTCAAGTTAGATCTGGATTTACTAAAAGAGAACTCTTATGTTGAATCATGTATCTATGACTCCATTTTAAATAGGCTCTTGTGTAATAGAACAAATATGTACTGCAGTATATTCTGCATAGAAATATTTCAAATAAAATATATATTTGATCCAAAATCTCAAAATAATTATCACATTTTCTTATATTTTGAAAGATTTGTCTCAATTTATCCTTCTGATTCCTAATAGTTTTGGCAAGATATTGATTGTCATCCAGCAATGTAACCTCTAGATGAAAACAAATTTGCATGTGGATAGCTTTCCATAGTCTGATGTTACAAGTTGAGCTAAGCTATTTGTTATATCCTTTAAGTTGTACCAGTGTTTTCCTGTACATTAAAGATAACATTATTTACTAGAATTCAATATGATCTTGTGAAGAAAGACTCACTTAAACTACAG